CAACTCTTTCCGAATCCTCTGCACTGTCCTCAGATTGACACCCAAACACTCTGAAATGTTCGTATTGAAGCTTCCGGTGCGAATGCCAAGCAATACAGCATACAGTTTCCAAATTTCTGGTAGAGTGAATTGAGTCATGATACCCTACTATACTGTACAGTCGACAAGACAAAAACAACACATGCGCGAAATTAAAATATAAAATGACAATTTACCAATCGCACCTTTCAGATACAAACAATATAGGATTAATACAAATATAAAATGTCACTTAGCTGATTGAAATTGGAGCTGAATATAACAGAGTTTTGTAGACTAACTCTTTTTGTAACTGTTTAGTCCACTCATCAGGTTTCAGCAATATGACATTATAAATAGGAGGATAAATATGTTTGCACAGTGAGCTGTATAAAGATTTAAGAATGATTCTTTGCATGCTAAAGTTATTAAAATTAAGTCCAACATTTTTTTATCAAATGTTCGAAGTAGGACAAAACAGAAACAGTGATGGTACATATTCTGAATATGCCTGGGTGTATGGATCATTTAAAACCAATTTATAGAGATAAGGAAATTGAATAGGCTGTACTAAGAATAGTTTCACAACACCGCAAGATGTTACAAAAACAAAACATCTGCGTCTCGAAGAGGACTGTCCTTCGTCGAATCTCGTGAACTGGCGCTACAGAATCCCTCCTCCGCCAAAAGAAATATCCGAATAACAGAAACCAGATCATTTGAGTTTCAACAGCAGCAACAATTAAAATGTATAGTACATGTAATCCAAAGATAAAATGGTATAATAAAGATTAACTTTACACACCACCTTTAACCAAAAGGTGGTCAGGAGACTCCAAATAGCGGTAATAATGGAGTTAAGAAACAAATTTTCCTGAAAAATTGTTCTAATACAAATATTTTATAAATTCTAACCGACAATAATGCTAACTGTTGAGTCAATGAATACCGAATGTTTCATCCATGCAAACGTCTATTCTTACCATCACCATTTTAATACTGATTCTTTGCTTGCTGAAGATAAAAAAAAAAACAAACAAAAAAAAACAGTAAGTTCAAAATCAGGTAAAACCAGAAACAAAACTAGAAATACAAACGAATGTATTGTTCTAATGCTCGAACTATTTTTAAAATTCTGTGTTTTGTGACTAATATTTGAGTAGGATACCGGCTCGTACACAATCCTACAATGCGAAAGATCAAATAATTATAGTTACGTTTAAAGAACATGGGAAAAATAAAAACAGATGTACAAAGTTCAACCTCTGTCTATATGTCTGAGATGAGGTATTGCAATTATTCACGTTGTTGGGACTTTATTGCCATATTCACGACGTTTCATCTGTTGTACACTCCGACCATCTTCAGGTGTTTGGAACTTCAAACTGAACCCTTTATTTCGTCCACCGAGGTAGATTGTTCTAGTTCCAAGCGCCGTGCCTCTTCCGGATGTCTCAGTTATCTCCCTATAACTCAACTCTCCAAGTTTTTGTTCACCATTGCAGTAGCCCGGTATTGAACTCACAACTCTTTGGGTCAAGTCACTGGATCCAACCAACGTTTTTATCCACTGGGTCATGAGGACATTTAACGTCCCTGCCCACAAAAGGACGGTTTTTCCCTTGACAGCGCTGTTACGGTATAATATCTCGACAATGTTTATGGTTTTAAAAAGCAATGATTAGAAATTTAATAAAAGCCAAACGCAGGAAAGTTAATATATACATTTTCTTTGTCCTTGAGTACTTACAACAAAAACCTTATCTCTTCGATTGTTTATTTACAAGAATATTTTTCTGTTTACAATATTCTAAAAGTGTGAACGAGTAGAATGCAAAAATGCATTCTATTCGTTCACACTTTTAGAATATCATTTACCAATTTATAAAAAAATAAACTTGAAAATTTTGTTTATCATAAATTTATAAAAATTTACTAAATATCTAAAGTAATTATTATTTAACATTTTATAAAGTTTGAATCAATTGGCAATTAGCTAATCCTAGAGCATGACTATAAAGAAACTGAAAAATTAAAATGAAGAAAACGGAGATATAAAGTAATTTAAGAAAATGTTTAATATCCGGAAAAAAATTTTTTATTTAAAATTTTCTTGTTCTTTAGTTCATAGATATTTTTTATAAAATTATGAATAAAAAACATTTCATAGTTATTTATAAAATACAGTGTAACTCGGATATAAGAGATTTTCTCTGGTCCCAAATTAGAGCCTGTGTTAATGTATATAAAATAGACCAAACCCGGATATAAGATACTTCTCCGGTCCCGACAACTCTCTTATATCCGGGTTACACTGTAGTAAATAAACAGTGAATTATAGTTGGTTCACATTTTATTGATAAACGTTTCCGAGGGAGTGGTGGAAGTGTAAAGTAATAGCGGTGTCATCAAAATAAGTCCCTGTGAAAGTTTTTTTTTTTTTTTTTTTTGTGGTGGGTACAAATGTTTAACCTTACCAACAAATGTTTTCGTCGTTACTTTGAATGAATATTAACAAACATAAGGACAATTTTTTGGTTGCTACACAAATCAACTTTGAACAATTCTAGATAGTTGGGACTTAATGAATTAAAAATTCAGACCAAATTTTAGATTCCTAGTTTTAAACTCCTTTTGGGGAAATGTAATCAAAAATCGGCATTGAAAATGCGTTTGAAAGACCATTCATTTTGGCAATATCTGATTTAAAAATGTTATTTCAACAGTAAATCGAAACAGTTTGGGTTTTTAATAAATAAATTTTATATTACATGAAAAATAATTCAATCGAAATATTTATATAATCATATCAAAATGTTCAGTTTAATAGCTTTTAGAAACATTAGAAAGGTCTTATTTGATAATTCTGATCAATATTATCAAGAGGGTTACTGATTTCCATAAATTCTACTTGTATGAAAGAGACTATCATGGTTTGCAACAATTTGCCTAATGTGCCTGTAAAAAGCAGTCGGGCTTCTTGTATCATCAACATATTTAAAAACAGCTCCGAATGGTAGCTCATTCTGATGTAATGAACACCCAATTGTATGTAATTTTCAATGGAGCTTCTTCTCCAGGGCAGTTACAAGGCCTGCCTTACTTCCAGTATTTGTACAGTGTAACCCGGATATAAGAGAGTTGTCGGGACCGGAGAAGAAGTCTCTTATATCCGGGTTTGGTCTATTTTATATACATTAACACAGGCTCTAATTTGGGACCAGAGAAAATCTCTTATATCCGGGTTACACTGTATTTGTTGTCCAGAAGAAAATGCTTCCAAAAAACTAAAAGCTTCTTCTGCTAGAATACCACCAACGGCTCCCGTAATTAGAACTACTCTATCAGCTATTTTCCAGTCTCAGTTCCTATCTTGAGTAAATGTTAAATGGTGTCCTGGGCCCCTTTTTTTTTAGTTTAATAAAGAAGCTTTGTTGTATGAAGAAGCTATAGGGAAAAATGGTGGCATTAATCTTGCCATCAACTCCTAAACAGACAAGTCTCAATATCTTCAGTGTGTCATTACGTTTATTTTTGCCTTTTCTCTATTTTTAACTTAATTGTTTTTAAAATCAAAACCTGGGTTAAAAAAAAAAAAAAAAAAAAAACATAGCCCGTAAAAATCCAAGAGAATTGCAATAACAAGAGATGCTACAACATTAGAGAAAACATCTCACCTATCTTGTGTATATCTTTACCTTATGTTATTTAAAAGCTTCCAATATAAATAACGGTGTAAAGGCAAATAATCACCCACGGAATTTAAATCCGGTTCATTAAAAATAAAATGTCAAACCGATGTTTTGTTTGTTTTTTTGTTTTTTTTTAGTTTCTGTCCGAAATAAAACTTGCTTAGAATAAATTAGGACATGTTTATAATTTATGAATGGTTTTACTGAATTCATTGTGAAAAACTTTTTTTGCGGAAATAAAAAAAATAAAAAATAGATTTTAATTGATCTTAAACATAACCTACGATTTGAATACGTCTATATTGCCTTTTTAACCTCACTTAAATAATTTATTTTAAAGTAAAATTTATAAATTGATTAGAATCTCGAGTACTTTGCCAAAAATAGGTAGAAGGCTAATAGGCCGATGGTTAGAAAGATCAGACGGTCCATTAGCGTTCTTAAAGACCGAAACTGCAGAAGAGGATTTCCAACAAGCAGGAAAGCAAGAAGCCGTAAGGTTTAGAGAGAACAGGGCCCAGTTCAGGATCACATTTCTTGAGGACTATTGCAGAGATATCATCAGGGCTAGAGATGATAGCAAAAACCATGAAGGGATTTATAGGCACAGCACTCAATAGGGAGTTATAGGCACAGAACTCAATAGGGAGTTATAGGCACAGCACTCAATAGGGAGTTATAGGCACAGAACTCAATAGGGAGTTATAGGCACAGCACTCAATAGGGAGTTAGAACTAAGTGAAAAGTCAAGTATGAGTCAAGTGTAAAATTTGAGGATAATTTTCCAGCAAAATATTCAGCTTTAGCAATAGAAGTTAACACCTCAAATTGAGTGAAGAGAGGAGGGATAAGAGACTTACTCTTATTCGAGATCATATTTTTATTTATTAATCTGATATATTGTTTCAAACTTTTTTAGTGGATCCTTGTATTCGAATAGAGGCTCTTTATTTTAAACAGTATTTTATTTCATCTACAGGCCTAAAAAATTGAGGAATCTTTAATAAAATGCGCCCTCCAGCAGTATTCGAACCAGCGTCCACCTTTGCAAGAGAAAACGACGCGATGAAGGAAGGTTCTGTTCTAGCTGACTTTGATAAAGCACGTATAACGAGGTTTTCTTCTGCAAATACAGACGCAAGATCGAATCCTACCGGAGGGTGATTATTTTTTCGTATTATATTTCTGAAATATTTGGTAGGCAAAATACTATTTAAAATGAACGGAGCGTCTACGCAAATATGGGTATCGACTAAAAATAACGTTTAATGCAATAAAATTATTGGCGACTCAAAGAGAAGGAAAAAAAAGTGGGGGGAAAAAGAGAAGGGGGGAAAAAAAAAAAAGAGAAGGAAAACAAAAAATAAAAAATAAAAGGAAAAGAGAGAAGGAAGGAAAAGAGAGAAGGAAGGAAAAGAGAGAAGGAAGGAAAAGAGAGAAGGAAGGAAAAGAGAGAAGGAAGGAAAAGAGAGAAGGAAGGAAAAGAGAGAAGGAAGGAAAAGAGAGAAGGAAGGAAAAGAGAAAAAGGAAAAGAGAGAAGGAAGGAAAAGAGAAGAAGGAAAAGGAGAAGGAAGGAAGAGAGAAGGAAGGAAAAGAGAGAAGGAAGGAAAAGAGAGAAGGAAGGAAAAGAGAGAAGGAAGGAAGAAGAAAAGAGAGAAGGAAGGAAAGAGAGAAGGAAGGAAAAGAGAGAAGGAAGGAAAAGAGAGAAGGAAGGAAAAGAGAGAAGGAAGGAAAAGAGAGAAGGAAGGAAAAGAGAGAAGGAAGGAAAAGAGAGAAGGAAGGAAAAGAGAGAAGGAAGGAAAAGAGAGAAGGAAGGAAAAGAGAGAAGGAAGGAAAAGAGAGAAGGAAGGAAAAGAGAGAAGGAAGGAAAAGAGAGAAGGAAGGAAAAGAGAGAAGGAAGGAAAGAGAGAGGAAGGAAAAGAGAGAAGGAAGGAAAAGAGAGAAGGAAGGAAAAGAGAGAAGGAAGGAAAAGAGAGAAGGAAGGAAAAGAGAGAAGGAAGGAAAAGAGAGAAGGAAGGAAAAGAGAGAGAAGGAAGAAAAAAGAGAGAAGGAAGAAAAAAAAAGGAAAGAGAAAAAGAAAGAGAAAGAGAGAGAGAAAGAGAGATGTAAATACATCGGCGTATGAATCAGATACAGTAAATTAATTATAGGAGAAATGGAAACTGAACATAGAATAGACTGCACCAGAAATAGTTTTGTTCAATATAGCCAATTGCGATAAAAAACAAAGCATCCACCTGAAAAGTCAAGTCATGTTCTTAAATAGTCTCGTCCGACGGATATTTTCATATGGGTGTCACTAAACCCGTTCAGAAACATCTAAACTGTCAACTTTCTAAGATCAATGGTTAAAAGGTTTCGAGTAAGTGAAGCCCAAGAGCTTTGGCAAAGATCATCCATCTTTGAAGATCATGAACTGGCGCTACAGAGTCACAAAGAACTGTACCAAATAAAAGAAAACATGTGACTTGAGGATTACCAACACCAGCAACAACTAAAATGGATAGCACATGTAACTGAAAGAGAAAATATTGACAATCACGATGTTGACATTCCCCATTTATTCAAATAAAAAGTTAGGAAGGAAATCCTCATCAATACTGGAAAAAGTGAAAACAGCTAGTGGATTTGAAAAAAAAAAAAAAAAAAAAACTTATTTTTCTCAAAACTTATTTTAGAGAAAGATTTTTTTTGCATAAATTTCAACCAAAAGCAGTACTGCCTGATCGGTCAACGAATGCCAAACGTTTCCCGATAAGGAAACTTCTAATATTACCGTGTGTGTGTGTTTTTAAATATACTCGAAAGAGTTTGGAATAAAAATAAGCTTCACATTCGAAAAACTGGTTTTCTACTTTGTTGTAAGAAAAATATATCTAATCTACCCACCTCCTGGCATCAGTTTAAACTGACGCATTTTTTTACCCATATATTCTAACTGCTTAGTTTTTCTTTCATTTTTTTATTTCTATTGTTAGGACTCAGGGTTCTTTTCACGTTGTTATGCAATATTAGATCATTGCAAATGTCGTGCCCGATTAGAAGGCTTAAACAAGATTTTACAAAGTTACAAAAAAAAAAAAAAAAAAAAAAAAAATAATTAAATATATAGCTAGTAAAAACAATAGCGACTGCTTATCGTTATACAAAACTTGTTTATGCCATTTCCGTAGATATTTCGTGCTTTATGATTTAAAAAAATTGTGAGGTATTTTTCGAAGGATTTACTATTTAAATTGTTCTGTATAGAACAGAAGAAATGAAACTCCGAAGGAGTCAATTCAAAAAAATACAGTGGATGCTGGAGAGGCTCTCCAAGTCTCAACTGCAATCTTCTGCAAAGCCCGTTTTACAACATGCAGTCTTGTTGTGGTAGAAAATGGTACCTTTTCGATTTGCCAAAATCAGCCGAAAGACGGTATTCAAACACTTGGCAATGTCTTCTGTCGAAATTTTCGGTTTATTCTCCACAATAAACAAGTAGGGGCGTCTTCATCGACGTCGGAAAGTCGCCCGGAACATCACCCTGAGGAAATTTGCCAAAACCACTTCTTGAACGTCCAAAGTGCTGGAACATGATCCAAATAAACCTTCTGAATGTTTTTCGTCTGTTTCGACGCTTTTTGCTTTTCGGAATTCAAATAGCAAAATATGGCTAAAGTGCAACTTTTCATCCTCCATCTGTAAGGCAATCTTGTATGGAGAATGCTGTCAACATTCAACAAAGTCTGACTCGCAGTTGAACGATACAAGGTTTCAATCTAGAATACACCAAAAATCGGTACCAAAACAGACGTCCGTGTTAATTTGCGGTCATTTTATATTAATGAAAATCGGGTACGAACTTTTACAGTAATTATATATATATATATATATATATATATATATATATATATATATATATATATAAATATATATATATATATATGTGTGTATTATTAACGAGTATTTGACATTGTAACTATAATGTGTAGCTTCGTCTGGGCTCCCCCAAATGATTAGCACACCAAGAAACCATTTTCGGAGACCCAGGCTCTGGTACACGACCGTGATAGATGGAGAAGAATGCACAGCTTATCATGTCGGCGCCCCAAAACAAAACTTTCCGGGGTTAAGTGCGAAAAAAAAAAAAAATCTTAGATGAAGACTTGGGATTTTTCAAATATATTTCAGTGAAATTTTTACTTTCCAAATTATAGTTTATAAATGGGTTTAGTCATAATTAAATGTGTCAGCTTAAACTAACGCCAGGAAGATATGGGAACAAAATAATTCGCATATTTTATTCGCATGTGGCTGAATAAAACAGTCTGCTGTGTTAACAGTCTAGTAAATAAAAACAAAAACAGACTCAATTTTTTTACGTTAGTGAAAGGAATAAAGCAAATCAGATCCGATTATTACAATTTCTTTGTTCAAGTATCTGTGAACATACATAAAAGTCGAAAAATAGTTTATTGCAATGGACTGTTTTTGTTTTCCTCTCTACATAGAAGGGACAATAAGATTAGGTACTCGGTTATTTTGCGGCGAAAAGGCAAAACACAAAAGTGTCAATATGACACTATTATTTCATTTTTCTTCTTTCTGCATTTTTCTTCACTGAACCAAAATATCAGTGTGCCTCAGACAGTGGTGAGGTAGATTAGAAGGAAATAACTGGTGTATTATTTCCCACAATGAAAGTTAAACGTACGTATTTAAACAGGGGAGATAACACAAATGTTAGTAGTGTTTCCTTGGTTGCTGAAGAATTTAACATTGAGTCCAATATCAGACAGAACCAGAGAAAGAAATACAAGTTATGTAAATGCGTTGTTAAAATGAAAATTCCATTTTGAAAATTCGTTACTCCATGACTATAGTCTTATATTTTGATCGTTTAATACCGACTTGTTATATCTTCAAATATGATTCAAATGTTATTTAAAGAATGAATAAAAAATCTTAGCACAGTGATGCCCAACCGCCGTGCTGCGGCAAACTAGTGTGCCGCGAAATATTATCACGGCGTGTGTGTGTGTAGTGATGATACAGCGTTAGTATTTTAATAAATCACTAACTATTGAATTTTTTTTTTTAAATAATTATTTTTAATTTCAATACAAAAGGAATATACCACATTTGCTAAAATTGCTTTATTAGTTTTATTGCAATTTTCTACTTATGTGAATTAGGCTTCTCAACCACAAATAGCATCAAAAATAAACGAGAAAGACTACGCTTAATTAAATCAATGAGGGCCTGTTTATCGCCCATTCGACCAAACATTGGAGAAAAAAAAAAACAAAGATTTCACACTAAATAAGCTGTCCAAACAGTGAAATAGAAGGGTTGAAGTAAAAGTTCATATTTGTGTTAGTATTTTTTTTTTTAATCTATGCTTTTATTTCATAACATTTAAATGTATGCCCTTTTGCTAAAATGGGCCGTGATATTTTCATTTGCTGTTAGGTGTATCGTTGCTTAAAGGAGTATCCTTCGCGAAGGATTCGTGACTCTTTACAAACTGGACAAAAAAAAAAAACAAATTGACAGATCAAAACTAAGAAAAGTTAATGCATGAAGTTTATCACCCGAGGAAAAACATCTAAGAGATGTGAAAAGGACATAAGAGGAAAGAGAATGCATCAACTGCGTTAGTTATACTATCAAAAGACAGGTGGACAACATAAGGCAAAGTAACAAAAGATAGCGCAGTCAAACATTGCATTATACCTGACAAGACAAAAAGTTATAAAGTAAACCAATTGCACAGACATTACAAGAAACAAAGACCAATTACAAGGATAAAAATCAATCGCGAAGAGGACATTTAAATAGAGAAACTTAATTTATATTCGTGCCGATCTAGAATAATTCCAGAAGAACCAATCTTATTGAGGCCAAGAGAGAGACAAGATGTGCCTTACACAAAAATAAAACAAGCAAACGAGAAAAAGGAAAAAAAGAAAAAAACAATCATTATGGCACATTGAAATTAAATGAACTACTCAGTGGAAACGAGATGATCAGATCGTAAATAAAAAGAAAATTTGTTAATAATGTCGCCCCCTACCATGCAGCAAAATTTTCAGTATCAACACCTTTTCGGACAATTGAAAGAAAATGGGGAACATGAAGGCGACGATTGTATCCATCATTAGAAGAGACTTACAAAGATTTTAGAAGCGAAAATCGTAAAATAAAGAGAAACAATCCAAACAAAGAATGAAAACTGAAACCATCTCAAACGCAATTTTACAAAAATCAGCAAAATTCTAAAGCGACTTGGTGTCGCTTGACTCCTACTGAAAGCAACCGGATATTACATATGTGAAAGTTCAATGAGTACAAAATAATTCTATTAATAAAAACTAAGTCAACGGTACATCTGTGATTGCTTACTTCCCATTTTCAGATATGGTAAATCAAGACGTGTAAGTCGTGTTATAACGGGGTTCAAAGTCTTACTGCATTAAGGAATATAACGGAGTGGTAACACTGGTTCAACATTTTAATATACGAGACTGTCTAATGACGATTTCAAGCAGGAAATAATATATATTAAACGATGAAAACCTCTAGGAACTAATTCAGTATCGAAGAAAATAAGACAAAAAAAAAAAAACCCTCCCACCCTCTGTAGCGGCATTCACCCGAGGTGGGTTGAGCCGGCTCCAATATTGGAGTTTCATGGGAATTTGGAATTGACAAGCGGTCCCCCACCCCGCATGTATAGCACATGTGATTTGATTATAATGGTGAAGGTTTCTTGCAGGACAATCCACACATTTTGAAGGGCCTGATTACAGAGACCTGGTGCATTACGTGCCACAAGGTCCCCAAACGACCCTCCGCAGGTTTTAAATTCAGAGTTTTCCTTCTCCTAGAACAGTTGCCATCCAAGGCTATAGAACCCAGTCTGTCCTGCTATTTACCCATAGCTGGAGGGAGAAGAAGAGGATTCACACCTTTCTCAAGTAAGTGAATGTAATGGATCCGACTGGAATTCGAACTCGGCTCTCCGATTCCTCAATTCAATCCAATCCGCTATCCATTACTCCATGACTCCCAAAAAAGAACGGGTTAAGATAATTAGAAGCCATAAATGTGTTTAGATTAGGCTCTCGGAA